AATCGTTTTCTTTCATTCAACTTTACAAGATGGAAAATAATGTCTTATTGCATTTCGAAGATGTCAAAATGTAAATATTAACTTGTGAACAAATTTTAAACGATCAAAAATCATTTTGAGAGTATTCATATGATTTTTCTAGCAAATTTTTTTTGTCAGAGATTGAGATGAATTAAGATTAGTGGTTAAATTTTCTTTCTGTAGAAAAGCATTAATTTCTGTTGAAACTGATTTTGATGCTAAACTATCAATTTATGCATTTTTTTGAATGAACGAGTCAAGTCAACGGCGTCCAACTTTCGAGTTGGAATCATGATTTGAACTCGCCCATTCTTGAAATGATATTTGATTACAATTCGAACTTCACAGAATTTTATTTCTTTTATTTAACAATCATACAAAATTTTGATTTTTCTATAAATCAGATTGTCGTTTTGTTAAAGACAAGGATTTTGTTTTATTGAAATCTTATTCAATATCATAAATATTGAAAAATTAATTGATTAATATATAAAATATCTGACATAACTTTTCAAGGTGAGATTTATTTATGAAGATGTAATTATGAATATTATTGTTGAAGCTTTTTTTTCTTTTTAAAAATAAACCAATGTAAGTAAATTTTAGCTGAAATTGAAATCTGCACAATTGTTTTTCATGAAAACAATTATATGAAGTAACTTCTACCAAATAAAAATACAGCCTGAAAAGAGATCTGTTTCAGTGTACTGTTTTTGAGGGTACCAGAGTTTGTATCGACTTTATCAGAATGGAATGAAGCTTTCAAAGCTTGTAAGACTCGTGTCTATAAGTATAGATATGAATTTGAAAAAATTAAAAACTTTAAAATGGAATTCAAGCAGGAATTAAATTGAGTTACGAAATCAAAATGAATATCATCTAGTGTTTTTATTGCAAATGATAGAAGTTCAGATGATGGTGAACATTTTTCGTAGTGGACGTCTTTTTCAATCAAATATCTCTTTGAAATCCAAAAAGATTGAAAAAAAAGACCAGCTCTTTTCCAGACAAAACATTCGCTAAAAATTGATCATTGCAATATGATATTGACAACAGGTATAACAATCCATTTTTTTTGCACAACTTTGAGGCTGAAGATCTCAGTGACATCACATTGGTCAAAAATAAAATTTTCACGAATGGTAGTGATACGTATATTGATGAAGGTGCACTATCGGACAAGTTTTCGCAATCTCATAATTATCCATGACGGAAGTAAAAAGTTGTGACAAAGTGAAAATAGGTCCTAAAGATAGCTTCGAGATTCTAGTCAAGAACAAGCTAGATACCTGGGAAATCTCATCTATCAATACAACATCAAAAATCAGCGTTTTCTATTGAATTTTTCTTCAAAAAAACAGAGCATAGTAGAAAAGGCTTTCGTTACAAAAAAATATTCATCATCTCAACGAGTAGTGTCTACGATAACATTTGGAAATTTATATCATGTGAAATAGAAATCCTAGATAACTCAACCTACTCTTCTCCTTTTTCAAGCCTTTTTTTCAAGATGTTCATGTTTTTGGAACTTGTTTCATACTGATAGACATGAGTCCTACAAGCTGGAAAAGCTTCATACCATTCTGATAAAGCCAATGTAAACTCTAGTACACTCGAAAGAAAGGTATGGTTACTTGCAGAGAAGTCATTCACAAGCAGACACACACCCTTATTATCAGTTCATTCCATACAAATGTTGCACAAACATGGACTAATAAAAACAGAGATATTCAGTATTGAAATTCTCTCGAGTCACATAGAATAGACTTCGAGAATGATTTTTTCGAATAAAAACCTTGTTATTATTTTCTCAATTGAGGAGGAAGCAACCTTTTTCTCAAAATACATGAATTGATGCGAAAATATCACTATATCAATAGTTGAGCATTAAAACATAATCATAGTTGACTATCTATATATGTTTCCAACATTCTTAACGAATAATTTTTCAGGCATCTCAATATGTATTTGTTACAACGATCATGGCATTTATTATTATGAAAACACATACAATAATATGATATTAAAGGGATTATTTTTAAATGTTATGGTGTACATATATTACTATTTTTTAAGGATTACATATATCTTTGATGATATGATTTCCATCGAGAATAAAGTTGATTAAAATTATTTACAACGATTTATATTTCAATTTCAAAAAAGGGCATATTTCTTTTTATTTTTTATTTCGAAAAAATTACAGAAATACAATAGTATAAGTAGAGTTTTGTTTTGCCTAATTAAGGGGAAACATATATGACTTGAGTAGTCTTAGTTGTCAATTAGGACTTCTCCAGGTAGTTTTTTTGTTAAGGTAGACATCATCTATTTCAGATGGATTAATTTCATAACTACGTTGTTATGTTGTAGAGAGAAGTTCGAATCTTATATCACAGTTCTTCAGATGCCTTCATAACCTGATCCAAAGAGATTCAATGTAGCTGTTATGGTGATAGTAGTATAGTGCTCGGGAAAGTCACTTTTGTTTGTAAATTCTTATCGCCATTTTTGAGTATAATACCAGTACGGTATAGTCTGTTTTGGGTGCACTCGTTTCAGACTCACGAGAAGCCTCGCTAGTCGCAGATAACTAACGAAGAAACATCGAAAATAGTGAATCGTAATCAGAAAGAAAACATATTTACATCTTCGCTTTTACATAAGTAATATTATCTATCATTCCTTGAATAAGAAGATGCGTTGGTGAAAGAGTTTTTTGTTCGATCATTAGGATTTTTTCTATATATGAAAGTGCTTTCAAGTAGTCACTCATATTTTTATACTTTGTATCGATATTGTTGTTGATAGAAGCCAATGGAGGTGATCTTTCGAAAGAGTTTTTCATATGATTTCGAGAGATTTTTCGTAAAGTGAAGCTGCTGCTTTGTATTGTTCTCGATGACATTTCATCATTCTTAGTTGGTTATAAATATGTGCCTTATCATTGTCGTTGGATTTATGTTTTAGGAGTCCTGTATACAAGTCTTCAGGCTTGTCGAATAGGTCAATTTGCAGTAGCAATAGACTTATTCAAGATCATCCAATGGCATCGATCTCTTCTCATATGCGGTCATTTAATTGATGAAGTTATCCGTTGTCATCTGACATAAATTTAAGATCTACTTCATAAAGTGAACGATCGTATTCAAATTTTCAAATGTTACCAGTTCAAAAAAAACAGTATGCATAGAGAAAAGAATTGCCTCTTGTTTTCGTAATAACACTTCTCCTCGCTGGAGGCGAATAGAGTTGATGAAATAGTAGAATCAATCGTCATTTGTAAAAGGATACAGATCCTACCAGTTGTTCCTAAAGCTCATTTGGTAAAAGTGATAGACATCTCTCGATTTTTACTGATGGATAAAAAGTTATTAAACGAAATAGGTCCACCTGTGTTTTTCGAAGTCGGCTACCAATAACATCTGTCCTCGAAAGATTGATCTATTTTTTGTATACAATCTCGATTTGTTGATGAACATCACAAAGAAAAAATTCCATTCTGACAATGATGTCGCCGTCCAATATTCATAAAGCTTGAATGAGCGTATTGTATACAAAGCACTCATGTATATACCACCAAATAGCTTTTAATGATTGATAGGTACATGTGAGATCTTCAACAATTTTTATTTCTTGAGCATTACCATGGTATTCTGTCTTGGCTAAAGGTGGCCAAGTCTTTGATGGCTTTCTTGTTACTAGAGCCTCCTTCGTTCGCACTTATAATACTGACCGATGCGTTATATTGGTTAACAGCCCATTGCAATGAATCGCATATTGGCTTGTTTAAATAGCATCAAGTTTTGACATGTCATGAATGTCTGGCAATAGATGTTGTCCAAGTGCACCAGAAGAGACAAAAATGCTGTTTCCCCGTTATTTTCATTGAGATGTTGAATGCATGGTGCCATTATGGTACAAGGATTAATTTGATTGATGATAGCACACAATTGCATAAGTGTATTTTGACAATCTTTACGTGCCGTGTTAATATTACTCTCGAGCCAGATGACCGAATAATTTTCAACTATTCGTTGTACATTCATTTTTGATGTAATTGTTTACTATTCGACCGGTAATTATGTATGGTGAGTAATAGATTATTGTTTGGACAGAGATCACCCTTTCCATGGATACATTCGATGTCTATTGTTTTTTTTTCGATATTTCTCTATCATGTCAAATGTGAACCTTTTTTTTTTCTCGTTGACACTCAAAGATAAAGACCATTCAGTTTCAATTAAAAGTATGATTGTCAACAAAAAAATGCAAGAAGATAATCTAACAGCATAAGAATATTTTTTTCAACTTTTTTTTGCTCTTTTCTTACATTAAATTTCGTTGTGCCTATGAAACGATTATCATAACTTTATAGGCTAGTGAGGGCTTATGTTGAAAAAGAATAACAGTGGCGAGGAAGATCGGACAGAGAAAAACATGATTTAATAATTCATGTCATATATCATAGAAGATAGATTAATCAATGTCTCGGTATCGAAGCGAAAATCTTCATACAATTCACATTCTGTATGTGTAAACGAGTACAAATAATAGAAGTGTACAATATGTCCGTACAACTACACCTAGCCCCAACTTACTTACCTTAGTACTTGTAAGTATAAGTTTTCCCTTGAAGTTTAAATACATATGAAGAGTTAGTGGTACTTTTAAAATTCACTGTCGGTTGTATTTCTCAAAAAAAAAAAAAAATTTTATAGAATATTTCAACATTAAAGATATGAAATTAATGAAGAGATTAAAATTTTTGTTCAATTACCTATAATCTTACTGATGATTATTCTACAATGATTTCATATTATATTATCAAAAGTTTAAAAGAAAAATTTTAGAATTTTACAATTGAAATATATATTGCGTTTTTATTAGATAAAGATAGGATTTTATCAGCATAACTTTTTTACATGACATACATAGATATATATATATATTTGATTGTTTAGCAATAATAAGATATTTTATTGACGATATTTATGATAATATGATGGACTTCGATCACGATCTTGACGATAACGATTATCATGTGAATGATTTCTATGTTGTTGATATTCATATCGATTATTATTATTATAATGATCCTTTGAATAAACACGTCGTTGATTTCGATAATTATTTTTATCTTGATTCCAATCATTAACTATAGGTGGAGTTTTTGAACGTGGTTTCGCCATTTGAATATATTCTTTATCATCATCAGTATATCGATTAGCAAAAAGTTTGTTTAATCTGATAAGTTCTTCATCTTGAGAAATTTTTTCATTCTTACTTTCATTTTCTATTGTCGTCATCTAGAAAAAAAAAAGAAAATAATTAAAATTTCTATATAAAAATCTGATTTCGTTTATGTTAAACATAGTATTATTATCCATGAATAAACAGATCAATATTTTAAAAAGCATAATTTTGATATCACCACAACATAAGAATTATGATCATCAATTTAATAATATATTGAATATAGTAGTAACAAACATCAATGTAATTCATTGTAATCCTATGTAAGAGATTTGCTAAAATCAGGGGTGTCCCGAGGTTGCCAAGATTGGGGGGGAGGAGCGATCATCTACAAAAACGATTTTTTTTTTTGGGGGCGGGGGCGAGATTGTTTTGAGATTTAGTGAGCAAAAAAAACCGAAAAAATGTTGAAATTTTGCTGAGGAAAAAGAAAATTTTTCAACATTGGGGGGGGGGGGGGGTCACCCCCCGCTGGTCGGAACACCCCTGAACAATATGGTGGAATTAGTTGAAGTCAATGCAGCTTCAAATGTTCGTGTCAGGCTTACAAAAAAAAAGTTATCAGACTAAGCAATTAACCTAACATTTTCGAAAATCTTTAATGATACTTATCAGAGAAATATTTTGTACGTTTTTTTTTTGTCGATTTATAAATTAATTAATAAAAACCTATTTTCAATTAATTTGAAATAATCTCGTCAGTTTCGTATTCTTTCGATTTTAACTATAAAGAATAAACTTATCATTTTTCTTTCGTATTCATTTTTTTTTTTTTGATTCTATATATTATAGACATTATACTTGACAACGATATCTTTAGTCAACAATATAATCTACCATTAGAAAAGAAATAATATAAGAAACATTTGGTAACTATCAAAAAGAAAGAAGACATAAGATGAATCGTAAAACAAAATTAATATTAGGTCGTCAAGATGATGAAATATTTATTCCATCAACAAATCCAAGTACACAAGATGATATAAAACAATTAGAAGAACGTTTTCATATGCAATTATATAAAGAATTTGCACTTGAAAATGGTTTATGTCCAAAACGTCGTCAAATATATGATGATTTATTTGATGAACTTATACGTATAACTAAAATTCATTGTTATGAACGTGGTCATTTATTAAAACGTATTAAAAATGAATATCAACAATGGATGAATACATATGAAGAATTATATTCAAGTAGTATGGCTTATGCTATAAGACAATATTTATATAAAATAGAAGAAAATAAAATATTAGAAAATAAAATAAATAATTTAGAAAATGATTGTCAACAATTACGTAATGAACTTGAATATGAATCAATTAAATTTCAAAAATTAACTGAACAACTTAATCAAAAAGAAGATAATAAATTACATACATTAGGTAGTAATGTTAAATTTCTTCAAGCAAAACATATTCAATTTAAAAATGATCTTGAAAATACATTAAATCAAATTTTATCATCAACAATTTTTCTTGGAGAACCAATCGATTATGATAAGAAAAAAACAACATAAGATATGAACTATTTTTTTTTATTATTTTGAAACGAAACAAACGAGAGAGATAGAAAAAAATTATTAAAACAAAAAAAATGTAAAGAAGTTTTCTATTGCATAAATGGTATAGTCATTGGTGCAGGATTTTGCATATAAGTTACCACAACAGCAGATATTGAAAGCCTAAAATATATAGTTTTAATCATATAACAACTCAAAAAACATCGAATAAATATTGAGCTTTTGAAAAACTACAATCATTAAATACATACATAAAACTACTAAGAACTTGTTTTGCATCATCCGATGTACGTGAATTAGCAAAACCAACCAATGCTAGAAAAATAAAAATATAACATTAGATAATTAATTAAAAATTAAATAATTATACCAGCAAATATAGCAACCCATGCACACCATTTTATCTATTATAAAATGGAAAATAATATTTCTTTTACCTGAAATATTTATTTTATTTCGTAGAATAACTTACTTTAAGCATCAATGAACACATGGAAAAGATCATACCCATTAAATTCATATAATCAGGAAGTGCATCATCAACTTGTGTTATTAATGCTGGTCGAAATCTTTCAAGAAAAAGATTTCATGATATTATGAAATGAACAATAATAAAAAAAAGATTAACATGCATACCTATGAATACGAGCTGGTCGACGATTATCCATCGTTTTTTTTTTTTTTTATTAGGAAAATAAACAAACTGAACTAAAAAAAAATGTATTAGATGCATCTTGCAATTTTCATTGGTTTAAATCAATGATTTATCTGAATATCTAACTAATAGATGGTGCTAGAAATTAGCGTATGATCTGAAGCTATTAAATATTTTCATTTTCAAAGAACGCCTATGAATTATCCGAGTCGAAGAATCCTAAAGTTGTATTCCGATGGAATAATATTGAATTTACATCTGAACATTACAAATTGTTCGATCTCGTCGTTATCATTTCCTTTCAAACTACTCTTTTCTTCTCGTACAATAAACTGTACATAGACAGCTTAAATATATTTCATATTAACTTCTTCTTATCTTCAATGATTTAATAATCAATTTAACAAAAACAAAAAAAAAAAGAATGATTACTTTTAATTGACTTGTTATTTAAAATAGAAATAAATTAAATCAAATAGTTTATTATGATTGTTCGCTGCAGTGTTTTATCCAGGATTTTTTCTCCGGAGGGACGATTTGAATTTCCGAGGGGGCGCCGCCCCCCGGGCACCCCTCTGGATAAAACACTGGTTCGCTGAGTTGTATAAACTTTAGAGTTTTTTTTGAAGCTAGATAAATAATTAATTTATCCTTGTTAAATTATGACATAATAATAAGAATCGATCAGAAATTTTCATAAAAAATTGATTTTGACAATCGCATTTCTATTTCTCTCAATAAGAAAACAAATCAAAATGAATTAGCAATATAAAAAAAAAAACTTCGTGTTCATTTTCAATAAGTACAAAATTTGATTTGTTTGTTTATGATCGATTTTTTTGTACAATACAGAAACAAAATTTTATAATCTCATAAATAATATATATATGTATATAACTGAAAAATCTTAAAATAGCATGACAAACTCTTTTTTTGTATAGAAATCTTCAGATTAGACATATTATTCTTTTCCGTCATTTTGATATAAAGAATCTTATAACTTCTTCCTGCATAATTAGAGTAAAATAATCTTTACAAAGAAAATAGAGAATGTTACGGAAGAAACATTCATTGAAACTTAAAGTTTAATGATGCTTGTTGTTTTCTTCTTGACGAAAGTCAATTTCAAAAATTTTATCACAATCTAATGCAAAAAAACATGTTTTTTTCTTTCAGTTCTCTTTTATGAATGATCGGGAAAATGCTGATATGATCAAAGAATTTGTATTTATTCTTTGATTATGAATATGAAGATTATTCGAGTGCAATACCATTCATGAAAATTAAAAGTTTCAGATTATATTTAAACAATTTTGTCTATAGTGACTTGTATAGTATATTATAGAAGTTATATAATTCTACTGTTAAGGTAAATCAATGAACAAGTTACCCAAGCAAACAATCAATGGTTATAACTGCATTTAAACACTTATTCATTTGTTTATCTTCTGAAATTCTGACCAATATTGTTAAAACATGTCGTTATTTCGTTTTTTTCTTCGAGAAAAAAAAAACACGTTTAAACAATATTTTTTCTATTTTGCTTTAATCATCAAAAAATGAGTTTTAACTTGAAAACTTATATTATGTTTCTGTTCTCAATAAATGGTAAATCCAATCGAAATCCGAAATATTTCGGATCAATGTTAAAATAGATAACTATAGATAACACTTTCAATGCATCTCATATTGAATATTTTTTCATAAGCAGACTATCGGCTACGAATCAGGGCTTCACATATATATGGGATGAGACGAAAAATTTTCTCTCCCATCCTATCAGTTCCGTGGGACAAACTCCCAAATAAAGTTTTCAACAACAATGCGACGTTGTTGACGTACGTTTTATCATAAAAAAAAAAAGTCAATTTTCGTCAGAAAAATTAAAATTAAGATAATATTTTCATAGTTTCGTTATCTTTTGCTTGGAAAATAAGATTTTTTCTGGAAAAAAAAAACGAAAAATCTTTTTGTTTTTTTCTCCTTTTATACATTTTGGATCGCGTCTCGCTGAATTCTTGAAAGGCTCTGATCCTATATATTTAACCTTTTTTTTTTTTGTTTAAAAGAGTATGGAAAGTGACAGTGTCTACTAGAACGCGTTTTTGAATGATGCGTTGTCATCATTATATAAAATTACACTTTTATAATTAGAGTATTATTTTTTGACAGTTTTTCGAGTAATTGAACATGTCATTTGTTCTTCTATTTTAAAAATAAGCGCCCTCATAGGCATTTTATATTGACAGACGTTTTCAAACAAAAAAAAAACTAAATATATATAAGTGAAGGGTTCTAAAAGTTTCATGCGATTTTAATGTACCTGGAATTTGGCGAGTGCGAAAACCTATGAGATAGATTAGTGAGGTTTGAGATAATTATCCAATTCTATGGGACAAAGAATTTTCTTCTATTTGTATCATTTCATGAGTCTTCACTCTTGTCAAATATTGGAAAAATAATACAATTTATGAATGTATTTATTAGTTTGCTTAACAACTGACAGAATAGAAAAAAAAATTGTATTTCATTCCTGTCAGCTCTTCTAGAGTAAATAAAAACAACATCTACCTCAAAACGTTGTATTGTAGTTTTAAAAAAATAAATTCATGCGGAAGAAATTTATCCCATGGGATGAATGGGATAAGGCGATTCTCAAAATTTTTCCATCCGATGGGACTGTCTCATCCCAGGTGAAGCACGCCATGCTACATATATTATATTGACTGTTTCGAAGTACATCATCATATCATTTTTATTTAACATCAATTCATGTTACGGCATATATAAGTAAGTCATTTCTTGTGTAACTCTGTACACTGTTTAGTACATTAACGAGTAAACGAGTGATAAGTAAATTTTTCATATCAATCACAAGTTACAGTGATTATTATATGTTTTACTTTCAATTGACTATGAAAATGATTTCAAGTCTTTGACAGAAGTAGCCAATGGACTATTGTCCGTTTCAAAATAGAATACGCTTCACTGTTTTTGCAATAGCTCAAGAACCAAAAGATCTGAATAGTTGTGGTTTTCATCAGTCGATAGAGAAGATACGGGGACGTCTTTTTCTCCAATATTGTACAAGACAAAATCATTTTAAAACGAATCATTATTAAAAAACATCGAAAAAAGATCTGTTGCTCCAATGAAACTTTGACAAAAATTAAGAAAAATTCATACTCTTCGAGAGAGCAACTATATACAGTTTGAATTTGCTTAACATTAGAATGTGTGATGATAATCATTCGAATTATACCTTGAATTATAGAACTGAAGTTCCTCTATCTAAATCACATATGAAAAGTAAAATTTCATTGGAGTGACAGACTGTTTTTATGCATTTTTTGCAATAGTTTGCAGAAATAATTGATTTCAAAACGATTTCATCTTGTGCAATATGGAAGAAAAATATGACTTCGTATCTTCTTTATCGATTGGTAAAAATTGCAGCTCTTTAGCTTTTTCCATTCTTGATTTATTACAAAAACAGTCGAGCACATTATATTTTGAAACAGATAATAAAACATTGTCTATAATTGTAATTTTCTTTCATCAGTTCCTATGTTAATTGTTATATTTATAGTCCTGCAAAAATTTAATTTGTCATTTATTTTAAATATAAAATTTGGATTTCCTATTTAAAAAAAAGAGTAAACATTAAATCATCTAACAGTAAGATGTTCACAGCTTCATTGAAATATGTTCGCTTATTGTAATTAACATTTTTCAACCCTAGTTCGTCCAAAAAGTCTGTGCGTGTGACTGTTTGTTAAATAACTTAAGAACGCAAACAGCTAGAGACCTGCGATTTTCATCAGTCGAAGGAAGTGATATAGGGACGTCTTTTTCTTCGATATTGTATAAGACGAAGTCATTTTAAAATCAACCCTTTTTACGAAACATCGGGAAAATGTACGAAAATATTCTGTCGCCGAGATGAAATTTTTAACAAAAAATAAGAAAATTCGAGAAACTCTTTCGCGACAATGTGACCCATCGGTGTGTCACATTATAAGGTATCCCAAAAGCTCATTGATTACAGAGAAAATTGAATATCTCTATCATACTTTGATCAAAAGAGTTGATTCTTTCATCACTGATAAAAGAATGTTCATAGTTCTTATTCATCAGAGAAACGTTGATAAAAGTTGTTCTTAATTATTATAGTCGTCACAAATACGAAGATGAAACCTCTCATAAATTATAAAAAAGTAATATTTATATCGCCGCGAAAGGATTAATATTAGAAGATGTGAAGATAATCATTTAAATTATATCTTAAGTATAGATCTGAAGTCTCTCTATCCAGATCACATATTAAAACCAAAATCTCATC